TATATACAAGTTAATATGATTCTTTAGGGTCTAAATAAAAAGTTTGTAATATACTTTAATTAAAAATTCTCATTTGTATTGTAAGAAAACACTCATTTTACCTGGTCAAAAACAGCTCTGTTTTCAGCACGCCGATTCAGTGCATGCGCCTTTAAATGATAATGAGCTTAGCTGACTCCGCCCCTCTGTTCTGCGGCGTTTAGACAGCGCACGTGGAGTGTTGCCTTGACAACAGTTGAGGGGATATTTTGGAGAGAGAATGGCAGCGAGTCTCTGAGGACACATCTGTGCAACCGTATCAGTCTGAACCGGAGTCGGACCCGGAACAAGATGACGGCCCGAAGAAGTTCGACAGTTAAGGCTCCAACAGGACGTTTCTGAATGATTTGCTAACATAATGTCACTCTGATCTATCTCTGTATGCACTGGCAGGGTAACAGTAGTGAGATACGAACGCTGTGGGTTTACTGATGTATACGTTAGTTCGTTGACAGATTGACGTTACAGCTAATAGTCATGAAAAACGTTTTTTTCGCGATTTGCAAAGATCAATATAAAGGTTAATAAAACTTTACACTCACTTCTTCTGGAGGTTCAGCAGGGACACGAATAGCTGGTACCGATCCTTTTTTCATGAGCAGCTTCTTATGCAAAACCAGCTTTACTGACCCTCGTTTAGCAGTCTGGGGAGAAATGATTCGCGCAAACATGAGCGCATTGACGTTGCTCGTGGGGAATATTCCCTTCGAAAACAAACTCAACCACTGCGTCTTCAGCGGTTCGGGTTTAGGAACGTCAGAATGACTGTGTTCGTTATTACACCCAAGAACAGAACACCACAATCGCTTAGAGCCATTCTGCTCCAGCGGATCAACACTAGCGGACTACGATGAGCTCGCTCAGGGCGGGTCTGTGTGGAAATTTTTATCATTATATGATGGTTGTGTACAGGCACTGCCAACACACATTTCAGTACAATCAAGTTTTGTAAAAGTGCATGTACCATTATATGACCCCTTTAACGTTTAAGGGCATTTTCCATGAATGGCGTCAGCGCTAGTCAATGCATTGAATCAATCAGCAATCAAATCTCTACCCATGCTGAGCCTTGTTAAGTGGAGCTCAAAGTTTTATTTATAATTATTTAATTTAATTATCAATTCATTTAATTTAATAAATATTATTATTAAAAAATAATTAACACCTTGTTTCATTACATCAATCTTTGAATGAATCAGCGTTTTTCGTTGTTTAAGCAGTTTAATAACTCACTCAAAGTCAGTCCTTGTGGCGTAACAGTGTAACTGCGCTGGAGATGAGCAATGCTGATATGGTGAAATATATGCAAGCCTCTCGTCCAGTCAGATTCAATGATCGCAACTAGCCTGACTGTTACACGTATAACAATAGCCTAACGAGCTTATTCTCAGGTTTATGTTCTGTTATGTGGACCCTTATTTTCACATTCTCTGTTTAGTTTCGGTTTTATTGGTTAAATGTCCTTGTTTCCGTGCCTGCTGACAACAACGTAACACTTATTTATATAGAAAGAAAGAAATAAATGGCGATAAAACCACTATTGAGCCACTCAGAATTACCACAAGGGAAATTGCTTCACCGTAACAGCCCGAGTCTCTCACTTACTGCAAGTCAGGGCATAAAGTCCAGTCTGCGTTCAGATAGAGCAGTTTCAGTGCCCCCCCGACGCTCTGTGACCTGCATTGCTCCATCACTGCGGAGCATCAAGAGCCAGTGCTGCACGAGGAGCACACACACTGCAATACACATTCTTCGAGAAAACAATCCTGATCCCAAGCAAGTAGGCAATCATAGACTTGTAGATTGAGCCAAAGTGGTCATTCCAGAAATCTGGAAAACGAGCAAGAAGGTGGCTGGACACACACTGGATTCAGTCCAGACTACAGAAGTCTATAAAAACATTTAATTTTATTTTATGGATTGCATCGTGCAAAAAGTGCAAAGTGAATTAAAAACAAATGGACAGGAGAAAACGTTTCAGCAAATTGCTATCTTCCGTGCTTCATTTTACAAATCTGAAAATATATTTTTCAGAATAGGGATCAAAGCAAGTTGTTACACAGTCAAGTCAAGACAAGTCCCCTTCATACAGCACTGTTAAATATATAGATGTTTCTCAAAGCAGCTTTACAGTGATAATAGGAGATTAAAGTAACAGATTGGTTTGGTTATCAGTTATTGTCCAGCTAAAGTTAGTTTTGATTGATTCACTTCCGTCGTAAAGATCATTAGTTATTAACTTAGGGGCCGCTGACACGACACCGCTCTACAGAACACACTCGACGCCCTCCGGCCGCTCACTCGCACAACAACAGGGCCTGGTGTAGGGCCCTATGAAATCCGTTTTATTTTTTCCCAAATTCCGTTTTTTCCGTTTTAATTTTTGGGAATTCATTTTTTTTTTACCCTTTACTGTTATTTTAGTCATAAAAAGAGTGTGCTTTTAAAGTTAATGATTAAAATGTATACAAATAAAATAGGAATGACCTTAAATTACAGACATTTACTCAGTAGCCTTTTCAGGACAAATACTGCATGATGCCACATGACACTGCACTCTTCAAGCAACAACAAAATATGGTTATGAGCTTTAAACTGTCCAGTAAAATTAATTATATTAGTTTAAAGTTTAAATAAAAGTCACACTCTGTCTCTCTCTCGCCCAGTGTCGCTCGCGGAGTTCGCTTCGCTTTTGTCCAGTCCGGCGCCTCATAGACAGACGCGGTGTGTGTGTGTGTGTGTGTGTGTGTGCGTGTGTGTGTGTGTGTGTAGAGCTGTCACGATATCTACTTTTTGTTGTGCGATATATTGCACCAAAATTAATTGCGATAAACGATATTATTGTAGTTTTCAGACCATTTTATGCCACTGATTACATAATGACAATATAATAGCATAATAATGCAAGTACACTGTTTCAAAGGACATTTTATTCTTATTCTATTCAATATTTAGACATTGTGAAATGTGAAAAAAATATATATCACAAATAAATAAAACAAGTAAATAAATACACTTTCGTTAACAAAAAAAGTGCAAGGTATAAAGAACTAGATCAAAACAAAGTAATTTGTCAATTTAAACTTTTAAAGTGTCTCACACAAAGGCACAGATGCATCAACAGGACATTTCTGCTGTCAGATTAGTTTTTTAATTGTTAGGCAGATTCCGAGAAAGGAACACCAACATGTTTACCTTGTGGGGCTTAAAGGAGAACTCCGGTCAATTTTAACATTGAGCTCATTTTTTTGGTAAATTTGGAGTGCTGTCAGTACAGAGAACAACGACAAAAATCGGTGTTGCCTACACCGTGTTATCCTCTTTTTAAAATTTGCACATTGTTGACTTAAACGGGGCTAGTTTTAAACCTGTTAACATCCTTGATGTGTCATTTTAAGTGAACAGCCATGTGAGTGATTTTATTCAGAGTGAACACAGTGAAAGATATGAATAAAGATGTGAAAGATATGAATAAAAATGATGTTTATTCAGCCAGCTCACAAACCTGTATTTACTTCCTGTTTTCGGTCGAAGTTCACAGTAGTCGATTGTCCAGTTCGCGCGCGTGATCGTTGGTAACCAAGATAACTAATGATCGCGCCCGCAAACTCGACAATTGACTACTGTAGACTTCGACCGAAAACAGGAAGTAAATACAGGTATGTGAGCTGGCTGAATAAACATCATTTTTATTCATATCTTTCACATCTTTATTCATATCTTTCACCGTGTTCACTCTGAATAGAATCACTCACATGGCTCAATTCCATGTTGGACTCGTTATTCCTAACTGGCTCGCTGTATAGATGTCACGAAACAGAACACTTGGTTCACGCCTTCTCTTTACCTGACGGTCTCTCTCTCTCTCTGTGTGTGTGTGTGTGTGTGTGTGTGTGTGTGTGTGTGTGTGTGTGTGTGTGTGTGTGTGGACACGCTGCCTGAGCCCCGCCTCCGACTCAGAGTGCAGACAAGATGACAGAGGCAGCGCGATCAACTAAAATGTTGGTGACATTCATTGTAATGTAAAAATAAATCTAATTATTATTTTTAATAATAAAACAAATTATCAGTTGCAATATATCGCGGCACCAAAAATGATCGCGGTCATTTCCATATATCGTACGATAAGTCGATATATTGACTATCGCGACAGCTCTATGTGTGTGCGTGTGTGTGAGAGAGAGACGGAGGGAGAGCGGGGAAAGGAAATACAACGGAAAGAATACGCTGCGTGTTTTAAATAGCGTAAAAAAAATTAACGAAACGCAATATGTGGCGGCCGGAGTTGATTTTGTGGCCGCGAATTAGTCTATGTGTGGGAAACACTGCACAAAAGTCACGTGCGAACTGCTCGGCTCGGTACTGAGGGCTTATAGCGTCGAGTTTCTTAACTTTTTCGCCGAGGAAAGCAGAGCCGTGGAGAGCCGCTTCGCCATGCTTTCATTGTTTTGATGCCGTCATTGGAGCTGAAATGACGGGAGGGGTTGTGTCGCCCAGATTTGCTTCCCCCGGTCTGCATTTTCACCAGACATACGTTCTTCTCCCGCACAAAAACAGAATTTCAATCCAAATATGTAAAATTCCAAGAAATTCCGCGCTAACACTAGATTCCGCATTAATTGTCCAATTCCATAATTCCGTCCGCGATTCCGTGATCGTGGAAATCATAGGGCCCTACTGGTGTCTCGAGAACCCAAACCATGAAATAGGTTCCAGGGTACAAGCCTTGAAAAATGTATAATACAGAATAAAACAGTGAGCGAATCAAACAGAAAGGTGATCATGCAAACGGACTCATAATGCAACATCATGCCGTGCCGAATGTGAGATGCATGAGAGATATGTGGAAGAGGACAAAACACAAATGATGAGCGTACACAGACAGAACACGATGGGTAAATGAAAGGTCCAGTGAAGGGAACGGGCTGTAATGACACTGATGAGGTCCGTGATGGATTTACCTGCCGCCGCGCTCGGATCTGACATCGGGATTCCTTCAGCTTCAGCTTCCCTCTTCCCGGATCCAGGTTTATCCCCTGGAGGACGGGTTACTGGAGTTGGGGAAAGTTCTTGTATATCAGATTCCAGGCCTGCCTTTCCTCTCCCAGCAGAGGATTTGTCTGACGCCGGGGTGGGAAGATGGTAGGAGATCTGATCTTCCTCTTCGGCTACAGATTCCAGTTCAGGAGATCTGTCTTCATCCAGCAACACTTCTGATGCCGGTTTCATGAACATCAGGCTATCCTGCATCTCCAGAAAGTCCTCGGCAGCTCCTCGTGTCGGCCTCTCGATAAACTCGAACTCTTCAGAGGACGGCTCGGGCTCGGACGCCTCGTCTCGGCGCTCCTGCTCCGCGGAGAAGCTCGAGGGTTTCGGGGTCACTGCGTCCAACACCGGGGAGAAGGAGTCCGCAGAAGGGCTCTCAGAATCCCACTGTTCCTGAGCCTTTCCCAATGGGAAGTTCAGACAATCAAATTTGTGCGCCATTTGAACAGAAGTCTGGCTTAACACCTCAACCTTGTCCTTCAAAAGACTGTCCGTTTTTTGAGGCACGTCCGTCTCTTTCACGAGATCGAAAGCTACAAAACTCTGCTCTGAGTTGTTGTGTTTTCCCAGCTTGGCCTTCTCTGCGGCCGCTCTCGCCTCCGTGACCTCGGCCATCTCCTTCAGAAGCAAGATCTTGGAGTCCAGACTGTTAGCAGACGCCGAGAACGGGGATTTGGGGGGATCGTTCCCTCTTCTATGAGCCGGGCTGAACTCAGGGCTTCCTTCTGAAGAGCCAGAGTCCACTTTTTCAGGGTTCATAGGAGAAGATTTCAAAATATCTGGGAGAGACATCGGCCGGTCATCGGACGCCGTGTTGACATCAGAAGCATACGAAAGGGAAAGCTCTTGTTTGGTTTCTCTTGACTCTGACTGCGCGTGAGCTTCTTCTCCATCATACGCATCTTGGACCAGGTCTGGAGACGGACTATCGGCCGGCGTTTCCCCGAGACTGTCGTTTAGAGGGGAAAACGCCTGAAAGGGACTCTTCTTCGTTTCAAACATGAAGTCGTCATCTGACTGGCTTAGCACATCCTGGTCGAATCCTGCCGAGTCCTTGTGTCCCAATGAATCCATAGTTAGCTCAGAGGCCTGTGAAGCTACGGATGGAGAATCCCAGCAGTCTGCGGGATCAGAACGAGACATGAACTGCGGTTAGCTGGAGTCTGGCCCTGTGGACGATCCTGTCAGGGTTCACAATCTTCAAGCTAAATCCCCTCATGGCTACTGAAGATACAACACTTCACCTTTCAGACTTTGAATTCCAAGAGTTTGTCCTTCAATGAAATCTAAAATCAGGTGGTCATGCAATTAATACCTGCTCTGAAAGAATGCAATAGATGAGGATGTTAACAGTTTTGCTGTAAAGATTAACTGATGCAAAGCATTACAGACTTGTAGGAGACCAAGCTTCTCTCGTTACTCAGAGACTTGTGAAAGTCAGAAGAGAGGCAGAACAATCAACCATCTGAGTACATGATGGTTACCATACTGAGTAACCATCAGACAAAGAGCAAAATGCCACAAATCAAGACTAACGTCAATCATTTCACCCGTTCCAGGACACATTCTGCGAAGACTGAGGCTGCATTAGGGCTATCAATAGTGCCAGTGTTTGCATACCAATCGATTTAAAAAAATGACAGAAAATGATCTTAATAATATCAGCAGTACAGACTTAATTTGGTACATGGGTGCCACAATTACTATTGGTATTTAGAGAAGGCTTGGCTCATGAATGTCAGTTACTTCATACGGATATGTGCAGTCACATAACCTATTTAATATTCACGAGCTGCTCCCGCACACATAGAAATTTCATAATTTGCCCACAGATGAGATCTGACCAAACCAGGAAATGCTCATGGACTCAATGGAAAACTCAATTTAAATTAACTGTTCAATATTTATACAAGCATTTTAAATAAGTGGAGTTTTAAATGATGGAATATGTTTAACGGCATTTAAGTTTATGTGGTGGTATTGAAAGGACTGAAAATCAAAAACTTCACTGGTATGGGTACAGATTACTGGCATCATGACAAGCCTAGTCCAGATCAGTGAAAATCATTCTTCCATGATGTTAAATTTATATCAGGTCAAACATTACCCAAAATGCAAGCACTGAACAAATGGCACCACATCAAAGATGAAAACAACATCAGCATTCTAGCAAAGAAGAACCGTACCTGATGGAAACTGAGGCTGAAAGAGCGCAGGAGCGACGCCAGGAGCAGAAGGAGGTTCGGGATCATCTGAAAAACAACCACACTCACTAAAGCCCGAGTCAGAGAGCAAGGGATTTATAGAAGGGGACGAGATCATTTAAACATTTATATGTGCTAGTCAGCTATGTGTTCAAGCATTAGGATCACAAAATATCAGCGATTTCTCAAAAAAAAAAAAAAAAAAAAAAGGCTAAGAAACCCATGTTTATGTGAAAAACACCAGGGTACATGGTAATCAGGAGCCGCTTTTGTTGTAGATATAAAAAAACGAATCATTATATTAAAAAATTAATATATACAATGGCATTTTTTCCAGAGGCACCATGGGTTATTCTGCAGTTTATAAATATATAAACAAAATAAGCAGCAGCTTTCTATGCGGCGTTACATAATGTGCAGAAGTTGCTGTAAGAGGCACACAATCCAAAGGTTATTCAACCACACCTGAACAATAACACTGAAATTCTTATCATCAAGCATGTAATCAAGTTTGACTATCTGTGATTATTGCACTGCGTGCCTGTTGCGTATGAGAGGCATCAAACGGCAGACAGAACGAAGTGCTCTTCTGGGCCTTTCACCAGCTTGGCTTTAGACAGCACAGCGAGAGCTTAGAGAAAATGTGTTTACTCGTGGATCGTGAATACTGTCGCTCATATAATTAAATTCACATCTGCATTTAACTCAAACTCACTGTGCATTTCCATGAGATTAATGGTAACTGCGCTTCTTAGTAAAACAGTAATATTGTGATGTTATTTCCATAGCTCTCTTAGGTTGGTCTGGAGCTCTGGATCAGATAAGATAACAGGAGCACAGCGTCACTCAACACTCACTTAACATTGTTCCACTCCGAATGGAAATGAGCATGAAGACGTCTCAGTCTTTATTTAGACTATTGCTGTCCTAAAAAACACACGCTGAGAGATGGCAGCCCAGAACAGAGGATCATCACACAAGCAAACTTCTGTTGGTCAAGGAGTCGATACACACTTCAGACTCAAACACCATGGGTAAAGCAGGGAGAGTTTGCCTAAACCAGGTCTGAGATCCGCTGTAACTGAGTCAATGACTCCGGTTTCCTTTGCAGAGCAAAATGTATTCAATATGAGCAAGTGATGCACCGAAATTAAAATTCTGGGATAAACCAAAAAGTTTAAAGGGATAATTCACCCCAAAATGAAAATTCTGTCATTTACGCACTCTCATGTAGGTCCAAACATCATTCATCTTCCGAACAAAAATAAAGATCTTTTTCATGAAATCAGAGATTTTTTGTCCCTTCATTGACAGCTATGCAACTACCACTATGACGTTTAAACAAAAAAATCATAAAGAGATCGTAAAACTAATTCATATGAATTGAGCAGTTTAATCCAAATTTCCTGAAAAGACTCAATCGCTTTATATGATATGAACAGATTGAATTTAGGCTTTTATCCACATATAAACATTGAGCAGCGAACGTAAACAGAAGCTCAACCGAACCTGTTTGATGCGTGAGAACAAACCTATCGCAGAAGCTCAAACGTGCTGCGTAACACGAGAATGAACCTGATTGGTTCTTGCTGAAGCTCAAACGTGCTGCGTAACATGAGAATGAACCTCATTGGTTCTTGCTGAAGCTCAAACGTGCTGCGTAACACGAGAATGAACCTCATTGGTTCTTGCTGAAGCTCAAACGTGCTGCGTAACACGAGAATGAACCTCATTGGTTCTTGCTGAAGCTCAAACGTGCTGCGTAACACTAGAATGAACCTCATTGGTTCTTGCTGAAGCTCAAACGTGCTGCGTAACACTAGAATGATCCTCATTGGTTCTTGCAGAAGCTCAAACGTGCTGCGTAACACGAGAATGAACCTCATTGGTTCTTGCAGAAGCTCAAACGTGCTGCGTAACAAGAATGAACCTCATTGGTTCTCGCTGAAGCTGAAACGTGCTGCGTAACACGAGGATGAACCTCATTGGTTCTCGCTGAAGCTCAAACGTGCTGCGTAACACTAGAATGATCCTCATTGGTTCTTGCAGAAGCTCAAACGTGCTGCGTAACACGAGGATGAACCTCATTGGTTCTTGCAGAAGCTCAAACGTGCTGCGTAACACGAGGATGAACCTCATTGGTTCTTGCTGAAGCTCAAACGTGCTGCGTAACACGAGAATGAACCTCATTGGTTCTTGCTGAAGCTCAAACGTGCTGCGTAACACTAGAATGAACCTCATTGGTTCTTGCAGAAGCTCAAACGTGCTGCGTAACACGAGGATGAACCTCATTGGTTCTTGCAGAAGCTCAAACGTGCTGCGTAACACTAGAATGAACCTCATTGGTTCTTGCTGAAGCTCAAACGTGCTGCGTAACACGAGGATGAACCTCATTGGTTCTTGCAGAAGCTCAAACGTGCTGCGTAACACGAGGATGAACCTCATTGGTTCTCGCTGAAGCTCAAACGTGCTGCGTAACACGAGAATGAACCTCATTGGTTCTCGCTGAAGCTCAAACGTGCTGCGTAACACGAGAATGAACCTCATTGGTTCTCGCTGAAGCTCAAACGTGCTGCGTAACACGAGAATGAACCTCATTGGTTCTTGCTGAAGCTCAAACGTGTTGCGTAACATGAGAATGAACCTCATTGGTTCTTGCTGAAGCTCAAACGTGCTGCGTAACACGAGAATGAACCTCATTGGTTCTCGCTGAAGCTCAAACGTGCTGCGTAACACGAGAATGAACCTCATTGGTTCTTGCTGAAGCTCAAACGTGTTGCGTAACATGAGAATGAACCTCATTGGTTCTTGCTGAAGCTCAAACGTGCTGCGTAACACGAGAATGAACCTCATTGGTTCTCGCAGAAGCTCAAACGTGCTGCGTAACACTAGAATGAACCTCATTGGTTCTTGCAGAAGCTCAAACGTGCTGCGTAACACGAGGATGAACCTCATTGGTTCTTGCAGAAGCTCAAACGTGCTGCGTAACACGAGGATGAACCTCATTGGTTCTCGCTGAAGCTCAAACGTGCTGCGTAACACGAGAATGAACCTCATTGGTTCTCGCTGAAGCTCAAACGTGCTGCGTAACACGAGAATGAACCTCATTGGTTCTTGCTGAAGCTCAAACGTGCTGCGTAACACGAGAATGAACCTCATCATAGTTCACCATATAAAGCGATCAAATCTCTTCAGAAAATTTGAACTAAACGGCTTAATTCACATGGATTAATTTTACGATCTCTTTATGAACTTTTTTAAGTGTCAAAGTAGTAATTGCGTAACTGTCAATAAAGGGAAAGAAAAGTCTCAGATTTCATCAAAAAGATTTCCTTTTGTGTTCGGAAGATGGACAAAAGTCTTGAGACTGAGTAGATGACAATTTTCATTTTTGGGTGAACTATCCCTTTAAAGTAACACCATGTAACTTTTGCTCTCGGGGTCCCCCTACAGTTGGGAAACAGTATTGTCTTCTACTACTCTCGTAAAATCTGCCATGGTTACACGTGCATTTGTTTACAAGGCGATACCCCCGAACTCTGCAGAAGGAGTTCTCACGTCTTGGGCAGACTGCCTGCTTTGCGTGTGAAATGTCTTCATTCCAGGCACAGTGGCATATTTCAGCATGTCATATGAATATATCATGGGTTTTATTTTTTTCAAACGCCAAAAGATCGTGTAGTTCACGTTTACAAGCCAGCATCATTATAGTAGCCTATTGGCGAATGTTTTACAGAATGGATATTCTAATTCAATTCAATGTTTGTGTGGTAGGCAATGGCCATATATCCAAATATCAAGCTACCATAGATGAATCTGCAAATATGCATCGGTCGGGCACCCCTCCTCCTCCTTTAGCTCACGCCAGCGAGCGAACGCTGGACCAATATTGATCCTCGTCCGGCCTTTGATTCTATCCACTCTCCCTTTTTCTCTTTCTAGTCTCCTCCGACAAAACCTTCGCCTTCTTTGGTTTAGTTGCTGCTACAGCCATGATGATGATGATGATGAATCATGACAACAACATCCAGCAAACAAACGATAGTTGGGCTCTCTCGTCCGAATTTGAGAAAGTGGGGGAAGTGAGGTATGCTGTAAAACAGTCGAATTTTGTAGTTCTTTTTGTGCTCGGGTTACTACCCGAACCCCGAAGTTATTTAGTGCCAGTAAAAGCGACACAGACCCCGTCAGGCTATGGCAGACGTGTCATTCAACCTAGTGTAAGTCGATGTACCATCACAAGGGTTTTGGAAATATATTATGAAGGTTGAAAAACTACATAGTGTTGCTTTAATGCATTTTCTAACTCAGTGCTTCCTAAACCTTTCCTGAAGTACCCCACAACTGCACATTTTGGACATCTTCCTCATCTAAAACACCTGATTCTATATCACTATCAGCACAGACTGCAAGAGCTGAATTGGGTGTGACTGATGAGGGAGACATTCAAAATGTGCTGTACTCAGGTTATATACTGTATACAGACACACGTTTATAAATGTATACAAAAATAAACATCATAAACAACACACACACACACATATATATATATATATATATATATATATATATATATATATATATATATATATATATATATATATAAAATATATACTGATACACATACAAACATACACATGCTTAATATAAATGTTTTGTATAGGCTACATTTATAAACGTGTAAATATACACACACGTTTATATTAATGTATTTTTAAAAAACACGTCACACATACACATGTGCACAAAATCACAAATATCATCATATTAGAGGCTAACATGTATCCCTTAAAGCATCAGGCGCGCTGCGTGTCTTTGTTCATGAAGCGGGTGGGCCGCATCGACCACATATCACACATAATGCCTCATCATCCCACATTTCCTCAGCAGGGAACAAATATCACTGCAACACTGCAGCATTTCACATCATGCCGAACATCTGCTCATTCCCTTCAGTCTCACTCACACATGTATCTGATCGCTTTAATATTCCGACGACAAATTCAACATCAGAAATCCCCGCCGCCCCCATCGATTTCAACACAAATACCGCTGAAATCAATGTTATACTCACTGGATGATGATAATGGATGAAGAGTGTGCGGGTGTTTCTCCTTCTCCTCCTCCTCACGGGCTTCGGATGAGAGAGAGTGTGTGTGAGCCGAACACGAGCTGCTGATCTCCGGTGCGGGACTTTCCGCGGACTTCACCGGAGTCACGCGCTCCTCTCTCATCACTGTCTGCTGAGATGATGTTACTTCTGATGTTACTTCGGTTACAGGTGGAGTAACGCTTTCCTCCGCGTTAGTAACGGCTTCAGTTACATGTGGAGTAACGCTTTCCTCCGCGTTATTAACGGCTTCAGATACAGGCGGAGTAACGCTTTCCTCCGCGTTAGTAACGGCTTCAGTTACATGCGGAGTAACGCTTTCCTCCGCGTTAGTAACGGCTTCAGTTACATGTGGAGTAACGCTTTCCTCCGCGTTAGTAACGGCTTCAGTTACAGGTGGAGTAACGCTTTCCTCCGCTGTCTCAGGAGTAACGGCAGCTTCAGTAATCACTGGATATGTATGTGAAGTAGACGTTACTTCTGCCTCTGTGCTCGTCTGCTTCACTGGAACTTCACTTAACGTTACAGGAGTAACGCTTTCCTCCGCCATCTCTGGAGTAACGATCACTTCTGCTGGCTGTGGAGAATTCGTTTCTTCATTAATTTGTGGAGAACTAGTTACCTCAGTTGTTTGTGAAGCACTAGTTACCTCAGTTGTTTGTGGATAACTAGTTTTCTCGGTTGTTTGTGGAGAACTAGTTTTCTCGGTCCTCTCCTCCTCCGCGTCCCGTGTCTGACCGGCTTCATTCATGATCGCAATATCGTGCGGAGCCTCGTCAGGTGCTCTGGATGATGAAACTTTGTCTGCTTCTTCCATTTGGAAGCTGTGCTTGGTATGCGAGTGTGTTGGGCTGGAGGTGAAGGGAGACAGTAACCCGCAGAAGAAACGCAAACTCTCTTTTCTTTAGGAGGAGAAAGACGCCGAGGCTCGACACTGCTGAAAGTTAACAGACTCCTCGAAAGTGACTAAGCGGAATATTATTGATCCCACCGACTACAATCGTGTGTCCAATGACTAAACACCGTGGTTGAATGATGTAACCAATGACCAATCGAGAAGCAGAAGTGCGCTAAGCCCCGCCTACACTTCTTTTCTCATGCTCTCTCTCTCTCTCTCTTTGTGCTTTAGATCAGGGTTTTACACCACAATAAACACACGAACTAAAATGATTTACTCTCTCAAAGCATTCGCCTAAAATCAGCACTGAAATTATTCATTATTTGTGGTATTGTATTATTTGTTTTCTGATAAATAATAAGAAAGAAAGAAATGCTGTAAAGTTATCTATATGCAGTTGGTGTAGTATGTTGTGCTGAGTAAACAGTGCTATATATAAATGTAAGTATATCCCACGTGTGCTATATGTATATCTCGCAGATCATGTTTCAAATTTGTGCGCATGCCAGCCATATGTAGCCTATAGTATATGTACAGTGTGTGTTCTGTGAATGTTGGATTGATCTTGAGCAGTTTATACTCTTTTATAGTCCACTATAGTGAGAAGAACATCCCTGTCAACATCTGCTCTGCATCAGATATAGCAGATTCTGAGCACTGCTGTTCCTGTCACTCAAAAAACACACACACCGTCTCATATCCATAAGAGCAGACACACAATCCCTCTCAAACATCCACTGGAGAATATATTACCAGCAATTCATGGAATTAAGCAAATACCTGCTTAATGTAGCCTAATCAACTGCTTGAAATGTATTCTCCAGCAGATGTTTGAGCATTAAGTTGAAAGGGACTGTGAATCTGCTTCAGGCATATAAGAGACAAACGTCTGGGTTATGATGGTTGTTAAAGGGCTCATTGTGTGGTAAAGTCCATCACGAAATAGCTGTTCAAAATGAAAGTCAAAGTGATGAAACCTAGTAATACATTATTAAAGGGAGAGTTCAAATTCTGTCATCATCTGCACCTTCATGCTGTTCAAACCTGAGCGACAAAAGACAATGCGATGACATGAAAGACACAGGAGTCGAACATCACTGATTTCCACTGGAAACGTCTTCAGCTGAAGGTCTGAATGACATGAGTGTGTGTGCTTGGGTGAACCCTCGTGCGTGTGTGTGTTCAAACTGATCTGAGCTCAGGGCCTCACGCTCGCTGAGATAACAGACCAGAATAAGCATGAGCATCTGTCCGAGATCAAGTGTGTCGACTGGGACTCGAACGGGGTCTCTGAGGCGCTTCAAGTCAAGTCAAGTCACCTTCATTTATATAGCGCTTTTAACAATATAAATTGTTTCAAAGCAGTTTTACAGTGATAATAGAAAATTAAAGTAACAGATTGTTTTGGCTTTACAGCAGCTCTAAAATAAAGTTAGTGTCCAGCTAAAGTTAGTTTTGATTGATTCACTTCTGTCGCAACGATCATTAGTTATTAACTTAGGGGGTGCTAACACGACACCGTTCTAACAGAAAACCCTTAATGCGCTCCGGCCGCTCATTTGCACAAAACAGTGCCTGGTGGCTCGAGTGTGTAACACATCGAACAGGGTCTCTGAGGCGCTTTAGCCAAACGCCAGTGTGTAACACATCAAACAGGGTCTCTGAGGCGCTTTAGCCAAACGCCAGTGTGTAACACATCGAACAGGGTCTCTGAGGCGCTTTAGCCAAACGCCAGTGTGTAACACATCAAACAGGGTCTCTGAGGCGCTTTAGCCAAACGCCAGTGTGTAACACATCGAACAGGGTCTCTGAGGCGCTTTAGCCAAACGCCAGTGTGTAACACATCAAACAGGGTCTCTGAGGCTCTTTAGCCAAACGCCAGTGTGTAACACATCGAACAGGGTCTCTGAGGCGCTTTAGCCAAACGCCAGTGTGTAACACATCAAACAGGGTCTCTGAGGCTCTTTAGCCAAACGCCAGTGTGTAACACATCGAACAGGGTCTCTGAGGCGCTTTAGCCAAACGCCAGTGTGTAACACATCGAACAGGGTCTCTGAGGCGCTTTAACCGAACGCCAGTGTGTAACACATCAAACAGGGTCTCTGAGGCGCTTTAGCCAAACGCCAGTGTGTAACACATCAAACAGGGTCTCTGAGGCGCTTTAGCCAAACGCCAGTGTGTAACACATCAAACAGGGTCTCTGAGGCGCTTTAGCCAAACGCCAGTGTGTAACACATCAAACAGGGTCTCTGAGGCGCTTTAGCCAAACGCCAGTGTGTAACACATCAAACAGGGTCTCTGAGGCGCTTTAGCCAAACGCCAGTGTGTAACACATCGAACAGGGTCTCTGAGGCGCTTTAGCCAAACGCCAGTGTGTAACACATCGAACAGGGTCTCTGAGGCGCTTTAGCCAATGCCAGTGTGTAACACATCAAACAGGGTCTCTGAGGCGCTTTAGCCAAACGCCAGTGTGTAACACATCGAACAGGGTCTCTGAGGCGCTTTAACCGAACGCCAGTGTGTAACACATCAAACAGGGTCTCTGAGGCTCTTTAGCCAAACGCCAGTGTGTAACACATCAAACAGGGTCTCTGAGGCGCTTTAACCGAACGCCAGTGTGTAACACATCAAACAGGGTCTCTGAGGCGCTTTAGCCAAACGCCAGTGTGTAACACATCAAACAGGGTCTCTGAGGCGCTTTAACCAAACGCCAGTGTGTAACACATCAAACAGGGTCTCTGAGGCTCTTTAGCCAAACGCCAGTGTGTAACACATCAAACAGGGTCTCTGAGGCTCTTTAGCCAAACGCCAGTGTGTAACACATCAAACAGGGTCTCTGAGGCGCTTTAGCCAAACGCCAGTGTGTAACACATCAAACAGGGTCTCTGAGGCGCTTTAGCCAAACGCCAGTGTGTAACACATCGAACAGGGTCTCTGAGGCGCTTTAGCCAAACGCCAGTGTGTAACACATCAAACAGGGTCTCTGAGGCGCTTTAGCCAAACGCCAGTGTGTAACACAGCGAACAGGGTCTCTGAGGCTCTTTAACCAAACGCCAGTGTGTAACACATCAAACAGGGTCTCTGAGGCGCTTTAGCCAAACGCCAGTGTGTAACACATCGAACAGGGTCTCTGAGGCTCTTTAGCCAAACGCCAGTGTGTAACACATCAAACAGGGTCTCTGAGGCGCTTTAGCCAAACGCCAGTGTGTAACACATCAAACAGGGTCTCTGAGGCGCTTTAGCCAAACGCCAGTGTGTAACACATCGAACAGGGTCTCTGAGGCGCTTTAGCCAAACGCCAGTGTGTAACACATCAAACAGGGTCTCTGAGGCTCTTTAGCCAAACGCCAGTGTGTAACACATCAAACAGGGTCTCTGAGGCGCTTTAGCCAAACGCCAGTGTGTAACACATCGAACAGGGTCTCTGAGGCTCTTTAGCCAAACGCCAGTGTGTAACACATCAAACAGGGTCTCTGAGGCGCTTTAGCCAAACGCCAGTGTGTAACACATCAAACAGGGTCTCTGAGGCGCCTTAGCCAAACGCCAGTGTGTAACACATCAAACAGGGTCTCTGAGGCTCTTTAGCCAAACGCCAGTGTGTAACACATCGAACAGGGTCTCTGAGGCGCTTTAGCCAAACGCCAGTGTGTAACACATCAAACAGGGTCTCTGAGGCTCTTTAGCCAAACGCCAGTGTGTAACACATCAAACAGGGTCTCTGAGGCGCTTTAGCCAAACGCCAGTGTGTAACACATCAAACAGGGTCTCTGAGGCGCTTTAGCCAAACGCCAGTGTTTAACACATCAAACAGGGTCTCTGAGGCTCTTTAGCCAAACGCCAGTGTGTAACACATCAAACAGGGTCTCTGAGGCGCTTTAGCCAAACGCCAGTGTGTAACACATCGAACAGGGTCTCTGAGGCGCTTTAGCCAAACGCCAGTGTGTAACACATCGAACAGGGTCTCTGAGGCGCTTTAGCCAAACGCCAGTGTGTAACACATCAAACAGGGTCTCTGAGGCGCTTTAGCCAAACGCCAGTGTGTAACACATCAAACAGGGTCTCTGAGGCGCTTTAGCCAAACGCCAGTGTGTAACACATCGAACAGGGTCTCTGAGGCGCTTTAGCCAAACGCCAGTGTGTAACACATCAAACAGGGTCTCTGAGGCGCTTTAGCCAAACGCCAGTGTGTAACACATCAAACAGGGTCTCTGAGGCGCTTTAGCCAAACGCCAGTGTGTAACACATCAAACAGGGTCTCTGAGGCGCTTTAGCCAAACGCCAGTGTGTAACACATCAAACAGGGTCTCTGAGGCGCTTTAGCCAAACGCCAGTGTGTAACACATCAAACAGGGTCTCTGAGGCGCTTTAGCCAAACGCCAGTGTGTAACACATCGAACAGGGTCTCTGAGGCTCTTTAGCCAAACGCCAGTGTGTAACACATCAAACAGGGTCTCTGAGGCGCTTTAGCCAAACGCCAGTGTGTAACACATCAAACAGGGTCTCTGAGGCGCTTTAGCCAAACGCCAGTGTGTAACACATCAAACAGGGTCTCTGAGGCTCTTTAGCCAAACGCCAGTGTGTAACACATCGAACAGGGTCTCTGAGGCGCTTTAGCCAAACGCCAGTGTGTAACACATCAAACAGGGTCTCTGAGGCTCTTTAGCCAAACGCCAGTGTGTAACACATCAAACAGGGTCTCTGAGGCGCTTTAGCCAAACGCCAGTGTGTAACACATCGAACAGGGTCTCTGAGGCGCTTTAGCCAAACGCCAGTGTGTAACACATCAAACAGGGTCTCTGAGGCGCTTTAGCCAAACGCCAGTGTGTAACACATCAAACAGGGTCCCTGAGGCGCTTTAGCCAAACGCCAGTGTGTAACACATCAAACAGGGTCTCTGAGGCGCTTTAGCCAAACGCCAGTGTGTAACACATCAAACAGGGTCTCTGAGGCTCTTTAGCCAAACGCCAGTGTGTAACACATCAAACAGGGTCTCTGAGGCTCTTTAGCCAAACGCCAGTGTGTAACACATCAAACAGGGTCTCTGAGGCGCTTTAGCCAAACGCCAGTGTGTAACACATCAAAC